CCGCCGCCCTCGTTCACCCATGTGTACAGACATATATACGGCGGAGTGGAGCACCACCACTCTTGTCACACCGCCCTGACCTCTCTGGACAAAATTATCATTAGCTGCGATGATGTTATGTATGTTGACTTTGCAGAATTTCATCAACTATGCCACCTGACCTCTCTGGACAAAGTTATCATTAGCTGCTATTGCCTGTAAGTAATAATTCTTTCGATCTATTATTAAACTCATCATATGTGTGTATATGCATATAAATTATCCTAACAAATACTATATATATGCAGATTTACAATGACAGAGCTCAGAAAGGAAGGCTGCAATGAAATTGGTTTTGTTGATCCCCATATAGTATTCGAAGACCCAATTACTCCAAAGACTAATTGGAAATCTGAGTCAGAGAGTAACCTCATGAACTTCTTAGTGAACCAACGCCACAAGAAGGATATACTCTTTCCCTATAACTTCAAGTGAGTGTTAATCATGTCGATCATATCCTTAATGGCTCATATGTTGATTCTAGTTAATTAATGAGTGTTATGCGTTATATCCTATAAACACATGCAGCAATCACTGGATATTGATGGACATCGATCTGGTGAAAAGTCACTTGATAATCTATGACTCGATGAGAAAACCACAACAAGACTACCAAGATATGATAGATATTATCCAGAGGTAATTTCGGGATGTCTAGCAACTATATATACACACAAACATATCTGATGACGTGGCAAATTTTTTATTGGGCAGTATTTGGAAAACCTTTATTGAGAAGCAACACATGGAAAAATGCAAAGCACCACTGAATGTAAACCCTTTAAAAGTAAGTCCCCTGAATCGCATCATCTTTATTAATTAAACATATAGCTTTCACCGGATCACCAGATTGGATGACAAATCTTTTTCTCGTAAAGTGGTGTCTAAGGCAGGAACAGGGGAACAACTACTGTGGTTACTATGTTTGCAAGTTTATCAAGGTGCTCTCCCAAAGAACTCCTACAGAGAGACTCAAAGTACGTTAAAAATACACTATATATTCATTTAATTATTATTATTGATTGTGTTACTATATCTTTATATATATATATATATATGTACATATATTAATTTATTTTCCTTTAATTCAAACCTGTAGACTCGATGGTTGGAGGAAAAGGTCATACGGCAAGACCAAATCAAAGCAATTCAATAGTCTATAGCCGGATTTTTTAATGAGCAGGTCATCGATTCCAAGGGCGAGTTCTACTTCTACCCAACACTGCCATTGAAGCCAAGCTAGAGGATGAGAGGAAACTTGTTATGTCACAACAACTGTAATGCAATCTTTTGTAATATATGCACATGAAATAATATAATGTAAAATACACATATGCATGCATGCATGTAAATATATATATGATGAATGCATTCATATATATATATATATATATATATATATATATATATATATATATATATATTTCTATGCTTGAATTGTGTGATTTAATACGTTCATTGTGCTTGAACCGAAACATACTATATGCGCGTATAAATGTATAATTAGCAGCGTACAATACGACTTCGAAAACCTATTTTGAAAAGAAAACAAAAAAATGAAAAGAAAAGAAAAAAGAAAAAAACCTTTAGTCCCGGTTCGTATTACCAACCGGGACCAAAGGTGCCGGCCATCGTGGCATGTCAGGAGGCACCTTTAGTCCCGGTTGGTGTTACCCACCGGGACTAAAGGTCCTCCTTTAGTCCCGGTTCCTGACCCGGGACTAAAGGACCCCCCCTTTAGTCCCGGATGCTTGCTCCCGGGTGGGGAACCGGGACTAGAGGGGGTTCCCCACCGGGAGTAAAGCTCGGTTCTCTACCAGTGTTTGGAAAAGTCAGGTATCTTACTATTACTAATTAGAGGCCCCAAATGAGGCACCACGTTAATTTTCACCAAACGCGTTAAGAAAAAAGATAAATCCTAGAAATTTTCACAATAATCAGAAATATCTGACCTTTGATTTGGTAGACTCTAATTATCATGACCTATATTAGCCATTAGATCTATTGTACTTTATTAAAAAATTACCCACTACTGTCATTATGAAAAATACATAAAGTAACCCCCTAGTTGTGCATGTAAATTACCCATCTCTGCCATTACAAAAGATAATTCAAAACAACCCCCCATATTTTTATATAAATTACCCACATCAGTTATTATAAAAAAACAAAATAACCCCTAAATTTGTATCTAAATTACCCACCTTGGCCATTACAAAACATAATTTAATACAACCCCTAACATTGTGTCTAAATTACCAAGCTTTAATTTGTCATTATGAATAATAATTTAAAATAATCGTATAACTTTATATCTAAATTACGAACATCTACCATTATGAAATATAATTTAAAATACCTCATGATGATTTTATAAACTATCCACCTTTATCATATATGTCGCTGTGAAAGATAATGCAAAGTAATATTGTAACTTTGCATTTAACCTATCCATATATGTCGCTGTGAAGGATAATATAAGGTATTAGCTTTATATTTGTACGTACCTTAGCCATTATGAATAATAAAAAAAATTCACTACAATCTACACATAACATTAATTTATATTATCACAAAAAAATAAATCAATACCATAAATGCTATGTTGCACCATGTATATCAAATAAACATGTATAGATTAGGTTAAATATTTATGAAACATGGAAAATTATTAACTTAACACACCACGTAGCAATAACACTTTATATTAATAAATACTCCATGAGAATGAATTTCATGTTATTATTTTGAATAGCCTTGTACATTTTTACTAAACATTGTCATGTCAATATTATTAATTTAATTTTTATGCACTCTATGATATATATAAATAATACTACACACATATAATCCTGAGATATAACAAATTCAATATGTTTACTGTCGGGATGCAAGCTAAGTTTCAACTTATGTGGTAAACAATACTACTAGGATCTAGACTATTATTAATACAAAATAATTTTGAATAAAAGATAAAGAGTACTAGAATTTCTAATTAACATGTGAAAAAATGCAACAACTCGATTAAAAGTTAAAAGATAAGCTATAGATTTACAAAAACACACAAAGGGTTGTATCAAGAGTTTATATATCTTAATACTAGATTTAAACTAAATACACATCACACTAGAAAAATAAATATAAATACTAGAATTTCTAACTAGAGCTCCCTGTTGGAGCCAGCATGTTAATCCTCACAAGACTTGATGGGAAAACAAAAGATAGATCCTAGAAACTCTCCTAAAATTAGAAAATCTTAGCATCAATAAGGTATAACCTAATCACCATTGATAATAATAATAGCTATTTGATCTATTCTATTTTTAAATAATTATTCATTTCTGCTATTGTGTAAAACAATATAAACTGACTCATGACCCTAATTTATATTACCCACATATGTGGTTAAGAAACATGATATAAAGTAGACCTCAATTTGCATTCAAGTATGGACGTCCTCTTATTATGATCGATATAACTTAATTTTCATCTCATTATTAGAAAAATTAAATATCCCCTCATACCTGCATATAAATTTTTAACATCTCCTATTACAAAAAAAAATGTTTAAATGACGAATAGAGCATGTATATGTTTCTAGATTAGCCCACCTCTATCAATATTAATATAGTAAGATTCGATTAAAGTGAATATATGCATTGTACCAACATGAATGAGCAATAAAATACATATGTTATGTTTCATCATATAAAAAATATTTTCTTAATAACTCTTATACTAATGATACTAACGAATTATTTAAAACCATATTAATAACCATAACATATGATTTATATAGATTATTACTTTAATAATTTATGTATTTTAACTAAGATATTTTATATGTCTATATTGATAGTATAACCATAACTATAAATATAATTTCTTGATAGTAAAATTCACTCCTCTTAAAAAGTGTGGGAGACCACTCTTGGCTATATTTTCCTGGCCCTTTAAGAATATTTTAGAGTAAAAAGTCAATCATTATAAGATTTAAGTATTAAAATTCTCTCGGGGTTAGCACTGCTACCCTGTCGGAGATCTCACTTCAAGCTCAACGACTTACCTTAAGTGATATGTTGCATGTTTCAAATGATGGCTTATGCTATTGTTTAGTACTTAACAACATACTCTATGGCCTAAAATCCTTATTTTTAGAATGTGTAAAAAGGAGAGTTAATGAGAGATACAATAAGCACAAAAGTTTCAACTTAACTTGAGGAGAGAGAAAAAATCCGTAGCAGTCGACAAGGATAAAATTTGAAAAATCAAAATTTATATTTATGACTTCATGAGATACATGATCCAACAAGAGCCACCATGATTAATGGCAAGGTTTCAAAGTAATTGCATATTTAAAATATATAGAGATCCTATGCAAAGAAAAAATATGAATATGGATAAAAATATATAGATTATTCCCTTGAAAATATAGTAATTAATAGGTCTTTGAAAACTATATATAGAATACAGAGAATCTATTATGTCTACTATGTTAGAAAATAAACAAAGAGAAAAACTTATAACTTAGTATAAGTAATTCTTTATTAGTCAGAGGTACTCTCTTCATTCCAAAGTATAAAACATTTTGAGTTTTCTAAATACATAGCTTTTACTACACACTTAGATGTACTGTATAGATACATAGTAAAAATAATATATCTAGAAAAGTCAAAATATCTTATAATTTGGAATGAATGAAATATAAAACAGTACCTAATACTTTTATCTTCTAAAATTCTAACACCTGCGAGAGCACGAGTTGATGGACTAGTATAAACAATCATAGCATATTCATATTCTTGGTGTTTACGCAGAGTCATCGTCGCTAGTTCTTGGCATTTAGCATGCCTCTAATTGCTAGTGCTATCATACTGCATCTGAGCATCCGCCTACTGCTAACAGAAGGAATAAGTCACCCATGCTCTAAGCATACTTAGCATGAAACTTAAAAAAATCAGGTAGTAGCTAGCTTTCATGGCAGGGCTAGCGGGAGCAGGCACGAGAGGTGGAGCCTCGCCGGCGCGACAGCGCTGGTCACCGGCGGCAGCAAGGGGATCGGCCACGCGATCGTCGAAGAGCTGGCCGGGCTCGGCGCGCGGGTGCACACGTGCGCGCGAAACGCGGCAGAGCTTGAGGAGTCTCGCCGCCAGTGGGCGGAGAAGGGACTCGTCGTCACCGTCTCCGTCTGCGACGTCTCCGTGCCGGCCGACCGGGAGAAGCTCATGGACACGGTCAAGGTGACCTTCGCCGTCACGCTTGACATCCTGGTGAACAACGCCGGCCAGGCGTTCTTGAAGCCGGCGGCGGAGTGCACAGCCGAGGACTACTCGCATGTGATGGCGACCAACTTGGAGTCAAGCTTCCATCTCTGCCAGCTCGCACACCCTCTCCTCGTCAGAACTTCCATCGCCGGAGGAGGAAGCGTCGTCCATGTCTCCTCCATCGCAAGCTACCTGGGTTACCCAGGGCTCGTGCTCTACTGCATCTCCAAAGGTACCAATGAGTGCATGCTATGCCAATTAGAAATATATATTGCACATTGTTTTTCGAAAAGCAGACGTCAAGAATTTTGCTGGGTATATATTACTTCCTCTGTCCTAAATTATAAGACGTTTTCACATTTTTTAATTCATAGCTTTTATTATATATATGTAGATATAATATATATCTAGATACGTAACAAAAGTTATGAATCTAGAAAAAGCAGAAGTAATAGAGAAGAAGCAACTTAGCATTAAGAACGAAGATAAAAAATCTACCACTAAAAAAACCTGTCAGATACAGTTCTGACAAGCCTGAAGAACCTGAAGCATATGAAGCTGTGGAACTCGGAGTTGTTGTCACAAGCAGCCCAAGTACCAAGAAGCCCAACAGAGAAAGGAAGCCCAACACTAAGTACTTTGGACCGGCTTGGATATCCAAGTAGCACAGGCCCATACCTTCCAGGAGGAGAGACGTGTAGATCTAAGAGGGACATCACGAGGAAGGGGAGAGCAGGATAGAACAGAGAAGTAGTTGGCCAGCTGTGTCCGAAGACGGCGGCGGGAGCAAATTGCCCTGTTCTTGCATCCATCTCTCGTTAATTCTGTTCTAAACCCCATAATATACACTATATGAGAGTGATGGAGTGAATTCTAAGTAGAGTTAGTGACAAAACCCTATGATAGGAGCGAAAACAAGGCAACCATCACAACGGCATAGAACACACGCACCAGCACTGTAATGGCAAAAGACGCCAGCCTCACATGCTATTGCAACAGCCAAAAAATAGGAAGGGTGTGGTGTTCCTTGTAGCGATGCCTCTATGAGGAAACGACATCCTCAAATGGTCGCCTAAAATTGATTGACGCTGCCGCAAAGAGCTAGCCACTGATATGCGTGGCTAGGTAGCGCCATTCCATGTGGACCGCAGCCAAACCAACAATCATCAATCCACAATAGGCCACCCCAAAAAGGGCACTGTAGCATGACCATATATGCCCGCACCGAAAGCCACCACCATAACCAGCTTCCGTTGTAGACCAAAGTTGATAGAAGCGTTGTTGCCTCCCCCATCACCACCAAAGACACTCAGCCCCACCAAACGTAGGGGCTACTGAAAAGGCCATCGCCAACTGGGACCAGCCGCCGGCCCCCCTACGACCGTGTTGAGGTGCCTCCCGCTTGTTGTCGCTGCACACCGACAATGCATTGCTATGCTAGAAAGTCACTGTCGCCTTGTCACCGGCCATCATGGGTTGCCCGAAAATGGATGACGTGCACCGGGCTAGCAGCCCCGTTAACTGCCATAGATTCGCCTTGCTTATTGCTGTCGTTGACACCACACTGGTGCGGCAGGAACCATGCACGAAGGATGGTGCCACCAGCCACATCCGAACCTGCACGTGGAGGACCCTGCAGCCTACTGTCCGAGACGCGGCAAAGTGTGGCCTCACCTACATAGAAGCATGACCATCTTTCTTTCTGTTGTGACGAAGCATCACCGCAGCACCATCTCGGCAACACCAGACACCCGGGTCGCCGAGTGTGGGCACGGCGGAATCCAGGATGAGCATGCATGCATGGCATCCCGGCTAGGTCAGCGGGGTTCCTGACCTCACGGCTTTCGACTGGGAAGAAGTCCACGATGACGTCCATGATGTTGGCTGAATCCACGCAGAGCCTGAGTGCTGGTGGCATCTCCACCCACAGCGTTTCCGCCTCCTCGCAGTGGGCCACCGCACTGCCTCCACGTCGCCGCTTGGAGCTTATTGTGGCGCCATCATAACCAGCCCGAGACACCGAGCACTCGTAGATCCGGCCTAAGGGATGACAGATTTGGCCATCGGGCCACTACATCCATTATCTGGGAGGAATACCATGGCTGGGGCGTTCACGACCGCTGAGGTACTAGGGAGGGGAGAAGAGGCCCCGTGTCGCCCTCCTTGTAACCACCATGTCTGTTAACCCACTCCGGTGATGGTGAGGAGATGGGGGTGGGGAGGAGGCCACCCATAGGAGCGACGAGGACGTCTGCTCGGTATAAGGCATGCAACTTCTACATAAAACAACAAATTTTAAACAATAAATTTTTACTATGAAGTTAGGTTAGCACAGGTGTAGTCAGGATGTTAACTCGCATTGAAGCTTGAATCTTGGGATCCTCCATAGTACAACACATACTTCTTAAAAATAAACAAATATTAGGCATGTTGCAATTTAAAATTTTGACTTTAGAAAATTATGTATGGTTCACCCTTTGGGGATTGGGGTAGTCGGTGGTGGGGGCGGGGGAGAGTGGGTTAGCTAGGTGTGTTTGGTTTGAGAAATAGAATGGTCCACTATCATAGTATCGCTCTTCATCGGAGTCTTATTTTTTATCAGAAGAATGATTGAACAACGCATGTCACGATATTTTTCGTATGCATATAATTAACATAAATAATGCAAGGGTTGGAGTAATCTCATCGAACTATGAACTCATGATAGACTACTTTAACTAGGATTATACGATTTCTCAAACATAATAACCCCTCCTTGTTGGCTACATTTTTATCCTCCAATAATCTCGTTCAGATAGACAAACCTATATAGCTTTTGTTTTGTTTGGGCTGAAGCATGAGATTCCCACAAATTTACGCAAAAGAGCAATATCTCACTCTCTAGACATATGTAAGTCAAATTGTTTGAACAAAACTTTGTATTGTTCATTCAAAAAGTATATTCTCTTTGTTTCTGACAGAATTCTACTATCATGCAGCAGCAATGAACCAGCTTACAAGGAGCCTGGCTGCCGAGTGGTCCCAGGACAAGATTCGTGTGAACTGTGTTGCCCCAGGAGCTGTCACGACTGATATACTCAAACAGGTGCATAGCCACTAGACCTGCGTCGTCAACTTTTCCAATGCCCCTCAATTATTTAGAGTAAAGTTTCTCAAATTTGACTGATGCTGGTCCTCATGCTCACAGATTGCATCATTTCAGTCCTTAAACTATCCCGGTCCATCTATCGACTTGATCCTCCAATCCTATGGCAGAATAAAGCAAGCCAAACAAATAAGAAAATTCTGATTATACATATCAGAAAACAAAACTCTGATTACTTACATTTTTGTATGAGGCTATTCTACATAATTTCATTTCTCTACCACGATATAATGATCAATTAGCTAGTACACAAATAGAAGAAAAAATGTCCACATCAAATGGTGTACCAAATGCATCTGCTGCAATGACTTTGTTTTAACCATAACAATGCAAATAAGACAATTTCTTTTCACCAAAAATATATGTTTGCAGAAAAATCACATTTCCCATGCATATCATAATGCATAAGATTATAACTAAGTGCCTGTTTAGTTCCCAAAATTTTGCAAAATTTTTCAAGATTCCCCGTCACATCGAATCTTTGGACGCATGCATGAAGCATTAAATATAAATAAAAAATAAAACTAATTACACAGTTTAGACGAAATTCACGAGACGAATCTTTTAAGCCTAATTAAACTATGATTGGACACTAATTGCTAAATAACAACGAACGTGCTACAGTACCATTTTCCAAAAAAATTCGCCAACTAAACCAGGCCTAAGGCTGCATATATAACGAGGGTATGTACATAGACAATGAAGTTTACCTACTTATTCTTTTTTTTTGAGTTGACAGGTAGAACCAGAATTTCTGGAACAGGAGATTTCACGGATTCCGATGCAGAGGTGCGGGGAGGTAGAGGAGGTGGCGTCGTCCGTGGTGTCGTTTCTGTGTATGCCGGCGTCTTCATATGTCACTGGCCAAGTCATTCGCATCGACGGTGGCCGGACCATAAGTGCGTGAGCTTCTAGCTAATATATATACTACTAAATATAGATGTGAGTTACAATGAGATATTCAGCTTGTTATATTTCTTGGATGACTTGCAATGTGGAGACTTTATTTAGCAGTCATGTCATGCGTTTCAAATTATCTGAGAATCGAACTTCGTATTGTTTCTAAATGTGTACTGCTCTAACCCGTACATTATGAGGTTTAGAGCTTTATCAATGATTGTATCATGCGGTCCAATGACTCCGGTGGTAAACCTTACCTCCTCCATCTAAAAATGACGAATCATATTTGACCAGAGAAAAGTCAAACCTTACTGATTTAAACAACAATTAGGCAATTGTGCCCTATGCAACAGTAACTGCGAAGAGACAAGAATGCATCTCTTTTTTGAGTGTCCATTCATCACAAACTGTTGGCAGTCTATCTCTATCTGTTGGAACCTGCAACAACAACAACCACCTTTAGACATGGTCATTGAGGCCCGAGATGTTTTTGGCAATCACATCTTCAAAGAAATTATAATAACAGCCTGCTGGATTATTTGGACAACCACGAACAGAGTCACTTTCAACAATGCAAAATTCTCTTTAAATATGTGCAAAGAAGACTTAAAGAAAGAGCTTGGTTTGTTTTGTATCAGAGCCAAGTAAAATGTAAAAACGGCTTTAACTTTGTGGAGAGAAAGTATCCCTTAAATGTAATCTCCTTCTCTGTTTTGTTTTTTAGGAAGCCTTGTAACTTGTACAGATATATACATAATCAAAAATTTAAGAGGCCTCCCCTGCTGATCCCTTGAAAAAAAAGTTTAGAGCATAAATCTTACATCAATAGATTTTGTATTGAAAGTGCTGATTGATGTTTTAAAAATTAACTACATATTATAAAAATATAAAGGTTAAAATCTACTTTGTAAGACTTTTACCCTAGTTAAATATAATTCTCGTTGCCGATGGAAGGAGTATTAGGGGTGTTCATATGATTTCTCAAGTAAACACTCCACATTCTCATATGACTCTCTGTTCATATAGCTTCTGTTTTTCATGTCCGATACTCCGATTCCCTCCTCTCCCGATAGTCGCGCGGCTCCTCTCCACCCTCTCCTCGCGAGTTCGCGACATCAGCGAGACGCCGGTCTCCCCTCCCCTCCCCAAGCGCACCCCCTCCCTCTCCGTCACCCTCTCCTTGTCCCTTCCCCGAGCGCCGCCACCCTCTCCTTCTCCCCTCCCTGGGCGGCGCGGCCGGCGCATGGATTGGCTCGGCGGGCCTGTGGATGGGCTCGCCGGGCCTATCCACGGGTTTTTCTTTTTTTTTTCTTTTCTATTTGATTTATTGAGGCGAGCATTTCAACCGCCTCGGTAAAAATTTATTTACCGTGACCTTTTGACCGAGGCGGTTGTGATGCCCGCCTCGGTAAATGCTTTTCGTCCGCCTCGGAAAAGTTTACGGTAGTAGTGATACTCATGACTTCTCATACAGCAGCGATTACGTCTGGTACCACTTGAATATAATAAAGGTACCCTGACTTCAGAAAGCATGTGAGGTATGGTGGTTGAAAGCATGGAGAATTTAGGAGAAGCGTGTCATGCTTATTTTCATTGATTATACACGTACAAGAAATCTTGCAGATGCGTGAATCATGCGTATCATACTATATGAAAGCAAGCTGATGGAAAAGTGTGCAATGCTGATTTTCCATTATTATCTTAGAAAATGGGGTATCTGTTTGTTGTCCTTGTTTGCATAGCAGCATTATCAACGACGAATGTGGAAACATTGAGTTGTCATAGTTTCTATGGATGCCACTGCCCTCCCGTGACTATATATGGCCAAACGGGCCGCCCGGCACGGCACTGGCACGGGCACGGACAGGCACGGCCCGGCCAGGCACGGCACTACGCGGCACGGCATGTTAGCCGTGCCGTGCCTGATAGTGCCGCCGTGCCGACTCAGTGGCCCAGGCACGGCACTATCATGGCTTAGGCGTGCCGTGCCGTGCCACTGGGCACGGCAGCCCGTAGTGCTCGTGCCGGCACTAACACTAAAAGTGTCAAACACCTCATAAACTTCAGAATTTTAACAGAAACTTGTACAATACATCAAATTTTAGAAGATCACACTTTGACAGCAGAGATACAAGTTCAAACTTTAACTGAAACTTCAGAAGATAACAAACACAGAAACAGACCAGAGAGAACAAAATAAAATTTTATTGGAGCTTTAGTGCAATGGCTGCCTCATTAAAAACCTGTCTAGGTAAAACTCACCCTTGTGAGAAACCCTAGACAGGGAAAAAAGAGTACAGCCTAGCTCCTTTTAAGTTCATTGTCCTTAAATCAAAGTTCATAAGTCCAGCATATTACAGTCCAGCACATAAATGATAACTAAGACAACTAATCAAGATAAAGTTCTTCAAATGCTTCTTCAAGCTCCTGGTCTTCCACATTGTGCTGCATCCTTGCCTCAGCTGCCTCCCAGTCTTTGATGCAGGTGAGCATCTCCACCATCTCAGCCTTCAGCCTCCTCCGCCGCTCCTCGATTATCCTGCCAGTCATACTAAAAGTGGACTCGGAAGATATGGTAGAAACAGGAACAGTTAAAATATCTTTAGCCATGATTGACAGAACTGGATAAGTGAGTTTGTGCTCATGCCACCAGTTCAACAGGTTAAAATCATCATCTAACTGGCTAACAGTGTCACAGTCCAAGTAGGAAACTAGTTTAGAAGTATTATTAGAAGAACTTGCAGCATGCAGCAGGGCAGTTGCAGAGGTATGTCTAGACAGATTAAGAGTACCAGATAGAGGATGGATACCACCTGCAGAACAATCACCTTCATCATCATCATAAATCTCATCCCAAGCAGACCTTTTCTTACCAGACAGGTTAGGAGGGACAGTCCTCCTCAACCTAACAGATCCAAATTTCTCCTCATACTTATTGTAAACATCAGTTAGTCGAGCTCTAGTGGCAAGCTGGTAAGTTTCATAGGATGTACTGGTAAGGCTACCCAACCTCCTCAGTACTCTGCTGAAACCTTTCATTTTAGCTCTAGGATCTAAGATGAATGCAAAAGAATATAGCAAAGGAATATTCCTCCAGTATTTATTATATTTGTCTATCATTGGTTGAATCACATGTCTGAGGTGAGTGTCATTACCATAGTTTTTTAGGTGTATAGCAATCTTAACTAGATAATGAATCATAAGTGGAGATGTAGGATAGTACACACCAGACAAAGCAACAGTAGCATCATAAAACAGTTCAAGAAATTTAAATACTTTTTGTACAACAGCCCAATGTTCATCAGTTAAAAGCAACTGACCACCTTCACCCCTAGGATAGTGAGCATGCATGAAAGTAGTGAAAGGAGTCTGGTGAGGAAACAAATGCTTGAGCATCAGATATGTAGAATTCCACCTTACCTCCATGTCCAGCTGAAATTTCCTAGGTCTAACACCAGTGGCAATACAGAACTTTTGTATGCAGCAATTCTCTGGTTAGATGAGTTCAGAAATGATATTGCAGTTCTAAATGTTTCAATCAAAGGCTGAAGAGCATTAAGGGCCTCCTTAACAATGAGATTTATGATATGACACGCACAACGCTGATGCATAAACAAAGTACTAACTGCATTATCAGTTTCATTTCTATCATTTCTATCATTATCAGGGGGTACTTCAATACCAAGATATTTAGATAGTACAGGCCTAAGTGTACGCATGGCAGAAACATTAGATGAGGCATTGTCCAAAGTAACAGCAAAGACCTTTTCAGTCAAACCATAATCAGCAAGCACAGATATAACCCTTTCAGCAATGTTTTGTCCACTATGGGACACATCAATAAGCACAAGACCAAGCACCCTCTTCTCTAGTTGCCAATCAGGATTTATGTAATGAGCAACCACACTAAGATAGTCCTCTTTGGCATTACCAGACCAAATGTCAGAGGTAAGACAAACACAATTTATAGCAGATGAACTAAGAGTCTCAACAAGCTTAATCTTTTATCGTTGAAGTATTTGACTATGTCTCCGGTGGTGGTTTGTCTAGAGACAGGAACAAACTTTGGATTATGAGCATTTCTAATGTAATCATAAAAAGCATCGATTTCACCCATACAGATAGGCACATCAAGTCTACAAAGCAATCGAACCAGTTCAGTGCGAGCAACAATAGGACAGTACTCCCAAGAACGCATACTACCATCAGGATTAAAAGATATCTGAGACTGAGTCATGCGAGTT